AGCCATGTAGTTTCAATGGCCAGGTCGCGATATTTCGTGATTTTTTCCAGTTCTTTTTCTTTGACTGGTGAATAATAATAATAATAATAATAATAATAATAATAATAATAATAAGCATTAGCATCATCATCATCATCATCACTAACATAATGAACACTGTTGTAAATATTTTGATTACTATTTCCAAAAACTATTTGTACCCAGATAACACACTGTTTAAATTGAAAATGGAATTTTTATATGTTTTATATGTTATAAAATAAAAAACTTGATGGGAAAAAAAAAGACTTGTGGACTTCAACTCCCAGAATTCTGGGAGTTGAAGTCCACAAGTTAAAGTCCACAAGTCTTAAAAGTTGAAAAAAAGTGTTGTGTATATGGAGTTAAAAAATAATAATACTCACTCTACACTATTTATTGCAATACCTTGCCACTGATTCAGTAAAGACAACTGAACTTTGATAGCAGCCAAAACATTCAAGGTAAGATTAAAGCCATTTGCACAAATACAATGCTTGTTGCATGAGATAAAGTAACTACTAATTGGAATAGTAGCGTTTTTATTTTAGTCATTGTCCAGGACCAAAGAGCATTCAATAATAAAATTAAAGCTGGTTGATTTGATAATAATCTACATACTAAGAGAAATGTTAAAGATTGAAGATAATAGCAGAAATTTTAAAAACATGATACCAGTATTGTTAAATTTGTAAGATTATGAAAATAAGAGTGAACACAGTGCAGTATAGATTTATATAATTTGGATGTTAATGTATGAAATTATATGAAATAACTAAGGTAGTTAAGAATAGTTAACATGAAATATACCATCATTATCTTATTACATTCTACACCCATAATATTGATATAGTAATTATGTAAAATCTATAAAAGCATGGTCTAAAATAAAGCAGTACTTGTATAGAAAGGAATGGCAATAATGAAAAAGCTAAATAACAAAAATAACACAAATGTCAATGAAGAAATAACAATTTATAGTAATAACAATAATAGATAAATTCTTCAATTAACCAGCCATGGACCCTTGTTCAAAAGTTTGCTATTCTGAAATTCTGGCTCTATATACACAGCAGACTAAACTAGGTCATGAAACATAAATGTGTATTTTGTGAAGTAGCACAAGTGACCCACTTAACAAACCCAGAGTGGGTTAGATTTAGCTTCAAATAGACCTGGTTTTGTTTATGAATAAATGTGTCTCTCCCATCACCCATTATTATGGATTTACAGTAGTGGACTATTCTCATTAAGGAGAGTGATGCAAAGTCCTAGAGTGGTCTAATTTTCATGGGTTGCCTCTCTGATTATTCTTTCTTTCCTTGGTAGTCTTCACTTCATTCAGGGATGAAACCCAGCTTGGTGTTGTGGTGAAGGTGCTGGACAAGTGGTCACCAACCAGTGGCCCATGGACCACTGGTGTTCCACGAGAAAATTTTGGCGGTCCGCAGAAAAAATATTTGCATTTTTTATATTGCACTAAATACTATTTTTGTTTTTTAAAAAATCATATTAGTGGTCCGCGGGATTTGAAATAATGAATTTAGTGGTCCGAGGTCTGAAAGGTTGGTGACCCCTGTGCTGGACTATAAATTAGGAGATAGTGAGTTCTAGTCTCGCTTTAGGCATGAAAACTGGCTGGGTGACTTTAAGCCAATCACCAGATGATGATGAGTCCCACCTTAGGCACAAAAGCTGGCTGATTTTGGGCCAATCACCAGGAGATGGTGAGTTCTAGTCCCGCCTTAGGCACGAACGCTGGCTGATTTTGGGCCAATCACCAGGAGATGGTGAGTTCTAGTCCCGCCTTAGGCACGAACGCTGGCTGATTTTGGACCAATCACCAGGAGATGGGGAGTTCTAGTCTCACTTTAGGAATGAACGCTGGCTGATTTTGGGCCAATCACCAGGAGATGGTGAGTTCTAGTCCCGCCTAAGGCAACAACGCTGGCTGATTTTGGGTAACTCAGGGATGGTCATTCTCTCTCAGCCCAACCCAAAGGGTTATTGTGAGGAAAATAGAAGGCAGAAGCATTTGGTATGTACACTACACTTTTCATTTTATTTTTGAGTTGCACAAAAGAAAAGACAGGACATAAATCTAGTAATAAGTATATTTAGTAATAAAGGCAATCATTACAATATCTATTAATAAGGGCTGCCCAGAGTTGCCTTGCAGGGGAGACGGGCAGCATAAAAATTTAATTGAAAAAGAATAAGTAAACCCCAGCCACATGGAAGGATTTAAAAGTGCAGAAAAAAGTACATATAATTTCTACTTCCAATTATATTTTTGAAAAAAAATAAAATATTATTAGTCTTGACAGCCTTCTTTGCAGCAAGGATAGGAAAATGACCAGAATTAACTGTTTGTGTCATATCCGATACCAGTGATGGGAAAGTGGGATCCTGTGTGTTGTATGAGGGCAGTTTGTATGGAAGAGCCCTTAATAAGGCCATAGCTTCTTTGTACAGATAGCCCTTGACTTACAACAGTTCATTTAGTGACCAAAGTTATGACACTGGAAAAAGTGACTTATATGACAGTTTTTCACCCTTATGACTTTTGCGGCATCCCCATGGTCATGTGAATTCAGACACTCGGCAACTGACTCATAGTTATGACAGTTGCAGTGCCCCCGGGGTCATGTGATCCTCTTTTGTGACCTTCTGACGAGCAAAGTTAAGGGGGAATCCAGATTCACTTAACAACCGTGTTACTAACTTAACAACTGTAGTGATTCTTGAATGATCGTAAAATTCAGCCAAACTCACTTCACAACTATCTCGCTTAGAAGAACCGAAGTTTTGGGCTCAATCGTGGTCGTAAGTCGAGGACTATCTGTATCAGTGGTGAAATCTAAAATTTGTTACTACCAGTTCTGTGGGTGTGGCTTGGTGGTGGTGGGTAATGTGACTGTGTGGGCGTGGCCATTTTTAAAAAACTTTTAAAACCATTTTTTCTACAACCTCTTTGGCAAAGAGGTTGTAAAAAAATGCTTTCAAAAGGCTCCAACGATCCCAGCTGAGTTGCCTGATCGTCAGAGGCTTTTTTTTTTACTTTTAAAAGCATTTTTTCCGCCAAAGAGGTTGTAGAAAAAATGCTTTTAAAAGTAAAAAAAAAAAGCCTGATGATTGTGCGGCTCAGCTGGGCATAGGGGGGGGGGGCAGGGATTGTTGCTACCGGTTCTCCGAACCACCCGCCTCCATTGCTACCGGATTGGGCGATCCGGTCCGAACCGGGAGCATTTCACCTCTGATCTGTATGTTGCATGAAGGCAGTTTGTGTTGAAGAACCCTTAAGGAGGCCATAACTTCTCTGTAACTCCATAACTTCTAAGAGTTTAGGCATATCCTTTCCTTTCTCGGCCTCAAACCTTTTAGTGAAATCTGGTGTAAAAAAGGATCGAGAAGTTTGTCAGGTATTCAAAGTTTGAAACTGCACAAATTTGAGGGAGTGGGGGGGAAAGAACAAAAGTTTTAGTAACAGGGACGAATAGTCCCCCCCTTCCCAAATAGAGACAACCGAGATCTGGCCCTCAGGTTGGAAAACACATTACTCCTCGACTTACGACCACAATTGTTTCAGCCCAGCATTTCTTGTGGTTCAGCGAGACATTTGTTAAGCGGCTTTTGCCCCATTTTACGACCCTTCTTACCACCGTGGTTAAGTGTGAATCGGAGTCCCCATCGACTTTGTCTGTCAGAAGGTCGCAAAAAGGGGATCACATGACCCTCTCCCGGGGGAGGGGGGAACACGGGATGGACAGACATTGCAACCATCATAATGATGAGTCGGTCACCGCATGTCCGAATTTCGATCATATGACCGTGGGGATGCTGAAATGGTCCCAAGGATGAAGAAAAAAACAAAAAACCCACCTGTCCTGAGTGACACGTTTCAGGGGCCATTTGTTACTTTGAACCAGCGGTGAAATCCAATTTTTTTTACTACTGGTTCTGTGGGCATGGCTTGGTGGGTGTGACGGGGAAGGATACTGCAAAATCCCCATTCCCTCCCCACTTCAGAGACCAGCCAGAGGGGGCATTTTCAGAACCGCTCAAAATTTCCACTACCGGTTCTCCAGAACCTGTCAGAACCTGCTGGATTTCACCCCTGCTTTGAACGGTTCCTAAAACGGACTGTTGTAAGACGAGGACTACCTGTAAGGGTAAGCCCCCGCCCCATTTTTTTTTGCATCCCCATTGTTCCCCCCCTAAACCCCTTCCCAGGTTTTGCAATCTCTGCGTCCTGAGGGAGTCAGTCACTCCTCTTTTCCACGCTGGCTTTTTTGTCTTCGCTTGTGGGTCGAATGTGCTTTTCTTTCATAATCCCTTCCTCGCGGCGCCCTTTGCCACCCCACGCCCGCCCACCCCCACACGCGCGACCCCCCCCCCCCCCCGCTCCTCCCCCCCAAGCCACGTCTGGCCGGCCCCACGGCGGCCTCGCTTTTTTCCCACGGCGCGGCTGCTTTCGCCTCTCCTCCTCACGTCCAGGGCAACCCCTGAGGCGCACCTTTTGCGCCTCGCCCCGAGACGAGGGGACGGACGGACGGACGGAGCTACATTCCTCGCCCACACTCCCTCCCCCCCAGACTCCTCCGCCGGCTGAGGCAGGAGTCCGGCAGCCGCTCGGCTCGCCCTTCTTTCCGCGCGGCCGCTGCGCCCTGGCGCGTCCGTCAGAGGTAAGCAGCAGCAGCTGCTGCCACCGCCGCCACCACAGGGTCTCTCGCCTCAGCGGCCTCCCGCATCTGCCGGCCTCTTATTCCCCTCCCCATCCTCCGCCTTCTCCCACTCCCACGGTGGGCGGAGCCCCCCTCCCCACAGCGCCTCCCTGATTGGCTCTCTCTCTCTCTCTCTTTCTCTCTCTATCCCCCACCCCCGCCAGCAGACCCGGGTGGGGAGGCCGGGGCGCGCGCGCGCGGGCGGGGGCGCGCGGGGGGCGACGCAGCAGCCCTCGCTCGACGCCGAGCCCCGGCTGTCATTGGCTGCCGTCCCCTTTGTGAGGCGAGCAGCTGCGGGCTCAGCTCCACATTTGAATGTATCGAGGGGAGCGGCGAGGAACCATTTCCATGGGCCAGCTGTCTTCCCGGAGCCTGCCGCCGCCTCCTCCTCCTCCTCCATCATCATCACCATCATCGCCGCCTCCACCGCCGCCGCCGCCGGAGCAGCCGAGCGCAACCTTCCCACCGTCGCCGGAGACGGCCGCCTCCAGCCGGGGCTAGCTAAGGAGGAGAAGAACCCCCCGAGCGGGCGATCAAAGCCCCTCCGGGCACCGCCTCGCCTCGCCCGCTGCTCCCGCCTGCCCGCCGCCGCCTTCGCAGGATGGTTTTGGTTCACGTCGGCTATCTTGTTCTTCCAGTGTTCTCTGTGCGAAACAGAGGTATCTCTCTCTCTCTCTCTCTCTCTCTCTTTATCGTGGCTTTGCTTGGCGAGCCTCCTCCGCAAGACCGGCGGACGGGGTTGGGCTCGGTGGGCAGCCGGGGTCGTGTGAACCGCTTTCCTTGAGGGTCAAGAGGGGGAGAGAAGAGAAGGGAGATCGGGGAGGGCAGAAAAAGAAAGAAAGAAAGAAAGAAAGAGGGAGGGAGGGAGGGAGGGGGGGAAGAGGCAGCGGACGCGTGTCTTCCTTGGCCGAGGCGAGGGGTCCCGCGGAAGGAACAATACGCCCCCTCCTCCCCATCAGTGCGAGCGGGAGAGGAAGGAAAGCAGGACAAAAGGTGGGAAGGGGGTCGGGGGGGAGGAGGAGAGCGAGCCGAGGGTGATGAAGAAGAAGATGATGAAGATGATGATGATGATGATGGGGTGGGTGGGTGAACATAAGTCTCCCTAATGTTGCCGGGCATTGAAAGAGAGAGAGAGATCGAGGCGGGGCAGAGGAAGGGGGAATCTAACAACAATCCCTAGATCGCTGGGGTGTGTGTGTGTGTGGGGGGGGGGGGGGGGTTGGGGGGGGGGGGTCTCCTGGGTCGAGAAGAATGGGTAGCCCCTCCCTCTCCCCCTCCTCGGGTTAGCTCCATTTTCTCTCTCTCTCTCTCCCGGTGAACCCCTCCCCTCCTGCTTTCTCTCCCCCCCCAACCCCTCCGCTTAACAATAATAGCTCCCTGCCTTGCCAGGAAGGCTCGATCCTTTCTCTAACGACCCAGATCGTTCACCAGCTTCTTAGTTTGGGAGGTGGGGGGGGGAGGCGGAGTTGTTTTGGGGGAAGAGAATCGCGAGCGGGCGTTTCTTACCTGCTTGTTCCCTTGAACCGGGAAAGGGGGGGGGTTGTTCCGTGCCAGGAATAGGGGGCGGGGAGGGGGGGGGTCTCTCCCGAGTCCCGACGGTGGATCCGGATCTCCCCCCCCCTTTCGGAATCCGGCTTTGCAATGGGGTTGAAGCCTCTCTCTTACCTATTTCTCCCCACCCCCCCACTTTCTTCCCCCCCTTGTGAACTCTGCTTAACCCCCCCCCCCCCACTTCCCCGCCCGGGAAGCTATTTTTATATTGGCTTCTCCAGCGAATTTGATTCCTTGGGGGGGGGGCGGGAGGCGGAGGGGGGGGGGGTTTCCAGGCTCTGCCCCTCCTCTTTTCGTGCCGGTTATGGTTTGCTACCGAGGTGCGTTTTCTTGCCCCCCCCTCCCTCCCTCCCCCCCACGCCTTCCCTCCCTGTGGAATTTCCGCCTGGCCAACCACACACACAATTTGCGCTGCTGCGCCTTTTAATCCGAGATGCACCACAGTTGCCTCCAGAAATCCTAAACCTCTGGGTTAAAGAGGGACGGCCAGCCTTGGTCTTTCTCTCTCTCTCTCTCTCTCTCTCTCTCTTTTTTTTAAAAAAATATTATTATTATTATTCCAAGTGACTTTTAATATGGGATGTGTATCTGTGCATATTTCAACCCCCCCCCCCCCCCCCCCCCCCCCCCCCCGCATATATTTCTCAGTTCCACCCATTTCCCCCATAAGCGACACAAAGGACTGGGAGAGGCTTTTAAATCCTCCTCCCTCCTATTTTGCTCTTTATTTTTTCTTCTTCTTCTTTTTTTTTCTCCCCATCCTTTTAGTTTCTTTTCCGTCCCGATCCAAAATGCATTTGGCTCTTCATCATTCTTTCCATTCCTTCCCCACCCCAACCCCCTCCTTGAGATTTTCTGGAGTGGATCGACTGCCACCCACTCACACCAGACCTTTTAACCTTTTAAATTTAAGAAGCCAGTAGTAGATGTTGCTTTTACTGCACCCAGCCTTGGAGGCTCGTTTCCACCCAGGTGGTGGGGTGGAAGTGCAGGCACCAACCCCTAAATTGGTAGGAGAAAGCTTTAAATCCAGGAGCAGAATTTTGCCCCTTCTCTTCACCTGGGTTTAACTCACCTGTGTCAACCCTCTTTCCTTTCTCTGGTCTCGGCTCAAGGTGGTCCTTTTAAAGACATCCGTGTCAGCTGGAACTCTAAAGACCCCCTGCCCCAGCATTGCCACAATTCTCTGCAATTCTCTCTTTCCACAACCCCCCCCCCATCTCTGCCCTCCTCCTCCTCCTCCCCTCTCCCCCACTGTACCATGTGTAACATAACTGCTTAATTTTGCACATCGTGGCATTATGCTTTCTTGAACTGCAGCCTCCTTTAGTGTGATGATGGGACGGTGGGGGCATTTTCTGCATCGATCCAACTTGGTTGTATTTTTTTTTTTTTTGGTTCCTTTTATTGGTTTGATTTATTTATTGAGTTTTTTTTTTCCCTTCATTGTGTAGATCCGTGAATGGTCCACTTTCTGCCATGTGCCCTGTAGTTCTCTGGCTCTGCATTTTAGCTCTAATTGTTGACACCTCTTCTTTAACCATTTCCTGTACCCATCTGAGGAACGCACTGGCATTTTAAGTAGAAGTATCCTCTTTCTCTTCTCTTGCAGACCCTAACAGGCAAGGGGGGGGTGGGGGTGGGAAGGGGTTGGGCAGGAAAGCAAACTTGAATTGATAAAGGCTTTTAAAACAGGGGGAGTCAATTTTTGCAATTTTGATCTTCCTCGTGTGGCTTAGAAGTGGGAGAATAAAGGCTCAAGATTAAACCCAAAGCCACTTCTTCAACTATTGGTTTGGTCAAAAATAAATAACAATGAAGGTCTAATGTGAGATATATTGGTAAAGAGATTGTGACCTTCATCACAAACATGTTTTTCCCCCCTTTTTAAAAGAAATAAATAAACAAACAAACGGGCAGGATGTAATTTCAGAACGAGTAATTGTAAAGAAAGAGGGGATAAAAATTCTGCGGTGTTCTGCTTTCTTCCTTTTTTTAATAAAAATAAAATAAATTGCTTTTGTTTTCGGAAGAGCTCTCTGCTCTTTGGGTTTTGTTTAAGTACAGAACACACCCACTGAGAAGGCATTGGGGGCATAGGATTAGCCCAGTCTCTGTGAGAGAGGATACTGACACTTAAAAACTGAAGCCCTTAAATCACCAAGCTTCTTGTGAAAAGAAAAGGAAAAAAAATAATAATAATAGCAGACAGATCTGATTGTTCAATCATGTTTCTCTTTAGCTGTCATTGTTTTATAGATTAGGGAAAAGAAAAAAACCAGGCCATTTTCAATATAGCTTGTAGTTTTATAACGCCATTTTTTGTATCTTCATCCTGTTTAGAGAAATACATTTGCACTGTAAATTCCTGTTCAGTGGATTCATTTTGCTTTCATTGTGGTGCTCGCTTTGATCAACAGGACACAAAATTTCTCCCGCTTCAGACCCCTATGATTGTTTCCTCTTCCCCGGGGATGGACAATAGCTTTCCAGAAATTAAAGAAATCCTGACTCTTAAAAAAAAGAAGAAGAAAGAATTGGATTTACAACATGGCCATTAAGAGCAGGAATACTGTGTCACTTGTGCCAAGCTTCATTTAAATTTATTTCCCCCCTGATAACAGGAAAGCAAGCTTTCCCGAGTGCACACAAAAGGATACCGCATCTTTGCACACCGCATATGACATATGAATGCCGCACACACACACACACACACCCTCGGGGGTGGGGTGGGGGCCACAATAGCATCTTTTCCAACAATTGGACTTGCAATATTTTTTTCTTAGAAAGCTGGTTTCAAGGAGACCTCCTGGCTCATTTGGTCCCTTGCTTTCCAGCCCCCCCCCCCCAAATTCAGCACCAACTATTTGACTGTCGCTCTAATCCAAACCAGTGATATTTGGGGCTCCACGGAGGCCGCATTGAGGGTGGGGTGACGCAGGGCAGGGAATCCCACCCACCCCTGGCCTAAAAGAGGCTAGAAAAAGTGGATATAACGCTTTGAGCAAAATGATTTTCCATTCAACAGGGATAACATTTCTTCCTGCTGTGCTGAATTTTTTACTTCCTGTTCTTATTTTGTGGGTAAATTTTTTTCTGTATCCAGATATTCTTTGGTTGTGTATCTCTTCCTTTTTTCTTGTACTAAAACTTGAAGCATGGTCTGTATGTTTTTTACATTACCTAGTTTTTTCCTCCTGATTGTAAAATCTCTTTTGTAGAGACATACTTGCTGAAATGTAATGTGCCATAAGCCTTATACATCTACTCATTTTTATGCTGCTTCTGTTTTGTTGCCTCTTCACACGGCATGGTCGGGGGGGGCCTCCCCGTTGCCTTTTGTATTGTGTGCATGACAACATTGTTACGACACAGTTCCACTAATACTAATATACAATCTCTCAATAAAGAACTAGTTTTCCTATATTAATCCTAGTGTGCTTTTTCTATTGCTGTTTCCCCTCATTTATCGTTGTATTCCTGCTGTTTTAGATTATTTTTCCCCCTCCCTCGCTTTCCCATTTAGCCTTACCTCCTCTCCCATTTGAGTGAATGAAAATACATTTTCCCTTTTTTTGAGGGGTGTTAACATTCTCTATCCCATGGCTGTGAGCTCTCAGCTTTCTCAATACACATCCTATATTATGATGGGGGGGGGCGTGTGTGGGTTATTTTCTCCCTGCACAGGGGTGGCTGTATCCAGGCTGAACTACGGATTTTCTATTTCTGCACATAAAAAGAACATTAAAAACACACACGTCCCAACGCCTCTTTGGGGAAAGCAAGAGTTTGGCATCCCTGTTTAAAGGTTTTCCATGTTTTATTGAGCCTCAAAGCAAGATGGGGAAGCAGATATTCAAAAAGGGGTCAGGAAAGGAACCCGTGACATGTAGGTAATCCTCGACTTAACCACCATGATCGAGGCCCAACATTTCTGTTCAGCGCGACCGTGGCCAAGCGAATTTTTGCTCCGTTTTGCAACCTTCCTTGGCCACGGCTGTTAAGCAAATGACCTGCAGTTGTTAAGCTAAGTAGCATGGTTGTTAAGCAAATCTGGCTTCAGAAGGTCGCAAAAGGGGATCACTTCGCCCTACCCCCCCACCCCCCG